CCCAACGTGTATTCATTGGAAAATAACTAATGTGGCATATTCATGCAGTAACAAGAAACAGAAAGTGCTGATACACTCAGCAACAGGGACAACTCACATGCTGGCTGAGCTGGACACTGAGGGGGTATATACAACCAGATTTCCTTTATTTATTTATATTGGGGGACTCACATCCAGCTGTGTGCTCAGGAGCCATTCCCAATAGTGCTGGGGATCAAACCTGGCACTGACACATGCAAAGCATGTGCTCCGGCCCTTTGATCCATCTCCACACATGTGATTCCTTACATTAAGTTCTCAATCAATGCTACCTGAACCAATATGTAAATATGTATACAGATATATACTGCATAAATTCTACAACAGGTCAAACTATAGTGAAAAAAATCATCAGAACTCTTTCTGGAGAGAGCAGTGGAATTAACTAGGAAAGGGCCTGGAGACCTTTCTGGAACTTATAGGACATAGATACATCCTAAATCCAAATCACCATATGGGTTGCACAGGTGTATCCATTAATAAAAGTAGATGGTTAAGATTTATACATTTTAATGTATGTAAATTTTTTAAAACCTGGTTACACCTAAAGTAATTTGCAAGAAGTATAAGTCAGCTGGCCTTTATGATGACAAATTCAGGGACAACACACCTACGTGCAGGAGAGCACACGGGAGGGCCAGATTCATGCAGGTGATACAAAAGGTCTCTATGTTCCTACGACTTCAAAGTACATGTCCAGGCAGCCCTTCCTCGCCTCTGGCTGTGTAGAATGCAAGTGCTCAGGGTTGTGGCTCCCAAGGAGATGGTGTCTGGACAAGTGACATGATGGGAGTCTGGAGAGACAGAGAGGTATCTCCCCGGGTCCTCAAAGTGTCAACAAAGAATCAGTTACGCCTCCTGCCTCAATGTTTGAGGGCACCAGAGGGAGATAACAAACATTTGATTTGCCTCTTGTGTTCCCTTCCAGGGCTTTCTCAAAGAAGGGGAAATCTACCTCCCTACTGACGTCCTCGGGTCATTCCTGTCTATAGCCAAGAAGTCTCCCTATGTCCTTTCCACAGAGCCTCCCCACCTCATGGGAGAGATAGCACAGGCCTAGGCCATGCTGCGGCAGGAAAGGGCAGCCTGGGGAGCAAGTGTGGCTGCTGAGCTGGAGTGAGGAAGAAGGCACCCAATATAACTGCCCCACGGGAAGGACGGAGGGAAGACTCCTCCCCTCTCCACTCGCTTCTGGCACCTGAAGACTCCCACCAGCCTCAGACGGTTTCAGAGATGGTGGTGAGGGCTGAAGAGCAGCATTCCAAAGGAGCAGAGTAAGAACAAACTTCACTTCCAGTTCTGTCCTCTATGGAACCAAGAGCTCAACTCTCCTGGGAAGAAAAAGGGATCTGGAGGGCAAGGGGGTGCCCACAAGAGTACCAAAAGAGATGGAGATGGCTAAAGGAGGCTCATCCCAAGTCACCCCAGTCAATCCAGGTATGACGGGGTCCCAGAGACCAGTGTGATGCTTCCGAGCAAATTCCAGCTTCATCCCTTTCAAAGAAACACTGACTGGGCTTGCAGACAACTGGGTGGGTCATTCTAACCCCAACCACCTAACTTCTCGAAACTCAGAAAGGCTATTATCTCAGGGCAGTCCCGGGCAGAAGAGATCAGGGTGACGCAGTCAAGGGTCCTCCAATCTTCCACCTCTCCCTGTGAAGCGTCCTCAGTCTTTTGCACCCCACTGAGAAGGCACACGCCACTCTGGAGTTTGTCACATGCAGAGCCATCTGGTTCGTTCTGCTCAGTAAAGGTCCCTGCTGTATGTCTTTAAGGGGTATGACTGTGGCCTCAGTCTGACCCCCCATGAAACCTGCTGGGGAACCAGGCAGGTAGGCACACATGTGCGTGCGCCCGCGCGCGCGCGCGTGCGCACGCGCACACACACACACACACACACACACACACACAGAGTTAGGCCTCCCTAAATGCGTGTTGATTCTTTGGAGCATGAAAACCAGATCACAAAAAACATGGGCCTGAAACAACCCACAGAATTCCCAGCGAGTCATTCCCAAACCCCTCTCCCAGCCCACCCTGCACCAGGCCCAGTTCTCATTCAGGCTGAGATCTGGGCTGTCATTCAGCCCATCTGCTCAGCAGTTCTTTGGTTGCTTTTTCTCAGCTTCATATTAGTGAGGTGGTGGGGGGGGTAATTTTCTTCAAAAACACAAATGGCAGAGAGAGGTGTGGGAGGGGGAGTCAGGCCTCCCAGTGGAACCCAACTCACCTTCCCTGGGATCTGGGTGAGGCATATGCATGTCCAGGCCTCCAGCTTACCAGAAAGGAACTAGACAACCTTCCCTGTTGTCTAGTTCTCTGACCCAAACTAATCAACTTAGGGGTATGGCTAACCCCTGCCTCAAGCCTACATTGCCGAGGGAAACAGAGGAGGCCTCAGCCACTACCTAGATGTTGGGGTGTGGGGGAAAGAGAACTCAGAAATCCTCCAGAGACCCTGAAGAGTCCAGCCTTGGGACATTTCCAGAGCTTTTCTTTTTTCAGCCAGAATTTGCAGCCAGAATGTGCAAGTGACCCACTGGCAATGTTGTAACAAGTATATTCCCTTTCAGGAGTGGTGCCTGAGATCTGCATTTCTAAGGAGCTTGCAAATGATGCAGGTGCCTCGGCCTAACTCTAAGAGGCAGCATTTGGAACACTCCACTCTACTGCACCTTAGCCTAAGTCCTCTTGAACTCTCAGAACTCAGTTAAGACATCATTTCCAATGGGCACTGGTGGAGGGATGGGTATTCGATCACTGTATAGCTGAAACCCAAGCACAAAAATTTCTAAATCTACAACTGTACCTCATGGTGTTTCACTAATAAAAATTTTAAAAAAAGACATCATTTCCTCAGAGAAGCCCATTGTGACCTTACTTACATACACACACACACACACACACACACACACACACACAACCTTACACTGTTTCTGAGCTATATACTATGAAATATCCATCACACCTAATTGCCCAACTCTTTCTCGAATTGTTTTTCCAACTTCTGTCTCCCTGACTAGACAGCCACCTCCTAAACAACAGGGTCTCTAATACCAATATTCACTACTACCTCCCCAGCACTCAGCACTGAGCCTGGCACGTGGTCTGCACTGGGAGTGGAAAGCTGTTGGTTTTGCTCCCCCTACATCTGTTCCCCCTTCTCAGAGTAGCGCCTTGATCTTCCCCTGAGGAGCTGTCCTGGTCCCACAGCCTTCCATCCTTCTGGTCACAGTGATTGGCTCAGAGACAGACACATGAACTAGGAGAGGCCTGTGAACTTCCTCCCAGGAAATTCTGTTAGAACCAATGAGCAAGATAGTTTTCTTTCCCAGGGAGTGACTTAGTAGATAGGAAGGATCTGCCACAGTCACAAAGTAGGAAACAAAACAGAGGAGAGATGGGGACGATTCCATGGGCGTGGCCATGCCTGGAGTCATTGTTGCCATTACAAAAGCAATAGATCCCCTTTTATGCTTAGGCCAAAGTGTGTTAGGTTTCTGTCGCCTGTGAACATGAGTCTTGACTAGCAGAATGGAGCCAAACACCGGCTTGAATGAATTAAATGAGCATGTGAGTCAGGAAAGCCTGCCAGGAGACTCCTAGGAGACTCGAGTCATCCCTACAGACTCCTGCCATGCACAAGCACAGAGACACGCAGGTCACACCCAATTTTACATACCAAGAGGCTGAAACTCAGGATGGAGACATGCCTCTCAGCATTGCCTCCGCCATCCAGCACATGACTCGCTTGGGTCCCAGCCCTGGGATGAGGCTAACGAAGATGGTCTGACTTTCAGTGAAACCTAGGTAACTCCCACTTTGGCCTTATTCCTAATCCAACCAGGATAGGTGCCAGTTCCAACTCATGATCCCTGCACAGCACAAAGCACACAGCTCAATCCAGGATGATAAAAGGGAAAGTGCTTTTGCTACTTCCTATCAGCGTATCCCTTTGAAATGAATTAAGTCAGAGAAGAGAGTGTCACGGGGACAACAGGGATGATGTGAATCACCTCAGAGAAGTCCCATCTGATGATATGGGAGGTAGGTGACTCCTTTAGAGTCTTTCTTCGTCGGGGGTGGGGGGAGGGGGGAGGGTGGTGTGGCAGACACTGCTCTCCAGACAGGAACACTGGCTGAGCCAAAAGTCCTCCCTGAGGACCAGCTCCAGGAGCAATTGAAAGAGATGAAGAGGGAGAGCGCCCTCCAAGAAAGGTGGACCCCATGGCTCCTTTCTAGGATAAGAGTGTCCTGGGACGGGCTCTCTCACAAAAGACTTATTCCGTGAAGTGCTGATACGACTTCGTGATTTTCAGAAGTTACAGGGCAACTCTACCTCAGGAACTGGGGCAATGAGGTAGACACTTCAGTCACTGACGGTCCCATCCCACAGAATTCCTCCCTCCTACCCCCAATTCGAGCCACCCTTCTGGGGCCAGAGCAACAGTACAGAGGGTAGGGCATTTGCCTTGCACATGGCTGAACCGGGTTCGATCCCCGGCATCCTATATGGTCCCCCAAGCACCGCCAAGAGTAATTCCTGAGTGCAGACCCAGGAGTAACCCCTGAGCATCACTGGGTGTGACCCAAAAAGCAAAAAAAAAAAAAAAAAATAGAAAGAAAGAAAGAAAGAAAGAAAGAAAGAAAGAAAGAAAGAAAACACAAGCCACCCTTCTGAGCAGTAACCCCTTAAGGTTCACCATTACATTTTGAGTCTCCCCCCTTATTTCTGTCTGGGCCCTGGTTCCAAAACCTCCAGCTTCACAAGGTCCCTCACCAGTTTCCACGCTTCCTGCCAACAACCCCTTTAGAGCCCCAGGCTATTTCCTCGTGCCACTTGGCACCTCCCGGCGCCACAGTCACACTGGCCTCCAGGCTAGCAGGCTCAGGGGCATGCTGCCAGCTGGGCCTGGAGACTCCCTCCCCAGTTCTTCGCCCAACTCCCTGCAACTTACCTTCATGGTGGGAGGCGCGGTGAGAGGAGGGGACAGCGGCCGGTCCGGGAGGGTTACGTCTGAGCTGTTGGCCAGCTCCTGCTTCCTATGAACAGACAAGAGCACACAGAGAGGTGAGGGAGGGCTGTGGGCTTCAAAACACACCCAACACACTGGGCAAAACTAGGTTTCCATGGCTTGGATGTCCTGATAATCTGTGTTGTTTTGTTTGGGGGCCACACTTGGCAGTTCTTAGGGCTTACTCCTGGCTTTCTGGTCAGGGATCATTCCTGGATGGGCTCGGGGGACCTTACAGGGTGCCGGGGACCGCACCTGGTTGAGCACGTTCCAAAGCAAATTCCCTACCCACTGTGCTATCACTCTGGCCCTGTCCTAAAAATCTAATGCCAAGTGTGGGCACTGTGCCACCAGCCTCAACATCATCCAGTAACTTGTTAGAAACGCAGATTCTCAAGCATAAACCTGCAAGTCCAGTGATGGGGCCCAGGCACCTGAGTTCTAACAACCTGCCTAAAGGCTGAGGACCAGCAGAAGAAAGCAAAGAGGACTGGGGCTGGGTGGGAAGGAGAGAGGGGTGAGGTGTGCAGATCTTCCTCCCTGAGGCTCCCCTGTGCATATGGACACACAGACATTCACTCAAACACATCACACACACCACATATATCACACACCACATTCACACACACCATACATACACTCACACACACACTGACATACACTACACACTCACATGACACATAAGTGTGCGGGCTGACCTCAGCAGGACAGGGTTGCCTGCTGTGTAAGCAGCAGGTAAAACTTATTTTAGTCCATGTGGGCTAGGACCATGAAGAGGCTGCTAAACAGAGTTGTGTCACCATGACAACATGATTGCAACAAGTTAGCAGCTCTCACACACTCCCCACTTCCATCTGGCCCTCACAGGTGACCAGGGAGGGCTGGCTTGCAGTCCTGTCACCAGGCAGAACTTGGCAGGGGGGTAAGTGTTCCCATCAATGCTTACACAACAGGGCCAGCTGGGCAGAACCTGGGGAGCTGCCTGCACCAGGGGCTCTGGTGTCCTGGAGTGCCTGGCATACAAGGGTAAAAGAACAGTATTTGGTGCCAAAAAGATTGGCTGAGCCATCAAGTCCCCCAACTCCAACTAGTTCCTTCTCCTGCATCCCACCCATCCATCCACGCATCCAGAGCAGTCAGTCAGGCCAACACCTGCTCCTGCTCAAATGATCAAAGAAACCCAGTGTCACCTTAAGGGAATGTCTCCATATGTCTTTCTAGCCCGTGTTTCTCTTCCATTGGTGGTGATAGACTATGTCCTCTCTCGACCCCCCAATCCTTCTTCAGGAACCAGCTCCACAATGCAGCCCTGCAACCTTCACAGGAAGTGAAGGGCCACTATACCACCCAGTCCTGGAACCTCTCAGTCCAGACAGAGGAAAACTAGGCTAGCCCCACCCCAGGTCCCTGTGGGACCGTGCCTATACCTCCCCACCACACACACACACACACACACACACACACACACACACACACCTACCTCCCTGCCCTGGAGACTGTGGGCACATGGGACTGGCCCTACCCAGTCCCTGCCCCTTTCTGCTTCTCCATCTACCTTCCTCCCTCCTCCTAGTGCTAGCATCACTCTGATGGCTGGGGAGGAATCAGTCCCCTTCCTCCCAATCTCCCAATGCACTCTGCCACCCTCTATCAGAGTCGCGGGGCTGAGACTCAGCACATACGCTGTGCATACTCATTCACACAGAATGCACAGCACGCCTGCAGCCCGAGGCCCCCAGCCTCCCCTTCTGCTTACCACCCAATTCTTCATCAATGTGGGGTCCACGTGGCTGGGTCCAGCCCTCTCCCAACAGCCACTTTCCTCCTGTGCCTGACAGCCATGATGGGACAAAGGGAATGGGGAAAAAACCAGGAATAGGAGTGGCAGAGATAGCGTAGTGGGTAGAGCACCTGCCTTAAACCTCATAAGGTCTCCCAAGCACCACCAGGAGTGATGTCTGAATGCAGTCAGGAGTAGCCCTGAGTGCCAGTGAATGTCATAAAAAAAAATAGGGGAGCCCCTCCCTGAGGTGAGAAGCAAGACACCTGGGGTCCTGGGAAGGGTGTGCAGGGAGAGGAAGAAGACAAGCCTGCACCCCAAGCTTAGAGCTTCAAAAACTGGGGGTCAGGACCTCCTGTGGGGCCACATAACTTTTTCAAGTGTGTTTTACAATGGTTTTTTTATGACTTCTTATCAGTAAATGTTTAACACCTAACACACCTATTTTGTATACCTATATATCCAGCCACATGTAAAACTTTCTGAGGTGAAAAAGGATCGTGAGTGGGAATGTTTAAGAAGCCCTGGGCTAGGCCCAAGAGATGGTCCAGGGTCTAAAGAAGTGGCTTTGCATGCAAATGACCCCAGTTCAATCTCCATCATTATTGTCCTCCAGAGACTGCTGGTGAGCAAAATAGAACAGCGGGGCTCTCCAGAAACACAAGCCAAGAGGGGAGGCTGTGACAATATAGGCTGACAATGACAGTTGGAAATGATCACCCTGGACAAGAACTGAGTGTTGAGCAGGGCAAGGGATATACATGATAACCTTTCAGTTAAAAAAAACAAAAGAGGGGCAGATGGAGTTATTGTCCATCAAGGATCCCCCTCAAGCCTTTGAGCTGAGCCCTGCCCCTGTGCCTGTCTGTGGGCCTGTTGCCGGCCTGTTTCCTGGCAGTTGTGAAAGCTCCAGGGACCAGGCCCAGGAAGAGGGAGGCCTCTCCAGTGGGAGCAGGGGGCATCTCCCTTTCAGAAGTATTTAAATATTTCCCCACTATGCATGGAGCCTGGAAATGCTGGAAGTAGCACCAGATTCCTGCTTCCCCCAGGGCTCTGTCCAGGCCCCAGTTGGATGGCAGGGAGGCAGAAGGCATGACCACCATCCTCCCAACAACCAGATCTCAGAGCATGAATAGGTTTTAGAATCCTCAATTCTAACACTGCCTTGGACCCAAGGGGCTCCTTGTGGGAAACAGAACCCCCACTTGGGGGCCCACTGAACCCCCCACCCAGCCCTCCTGTCAGCCCAAAGCACATATTCAAAAGCTAAATGCCTGGGGTTGGAGAGATAGTAGAGGGGTAAAGGCACTTGCCTTGCATATGACTCCCCTTGTGGCCCTGAATAACATACAATTCCTCAGGCACTGCCAGGAGTAACCTCAGCAACAATAGGTGTGGTCCAAAAAGAAAAACAAAAATAAACCATCAGTTAAAAATAAAAGCTATTGCTTATTACAGGTTGAACTGTGTCCCAAAAGGCACAGTGAGGTCATAAGTTCCAATCTCTATGGACCTTACTTGGAAACAGGTCCTTTGCTGGTGCAATCAAGTCCAGAGATCATTGGGATGGCCCCTGGGCTCCATAGACATTTGTAAGAGAAGGCGGTCACAGGACAACAGAAGCAGAGACTGGAGTAACACAGCAGGACACCAGGGGACATCAAGGATCACTGGGCATGGCCGGAAATTAGAAAAGCAGGAATGTTTTCCCTGCAGACCCCAGAAGGATGGTGACGTTGCCTGTCAGTGGCGTGGTTGGAACTGCAACTCCCAGAACTGGGACAATCAACATCTATCTCTTTAAGCTGCTGGGGTTTGTGGCTCCTGGTTACAGCAGCCAATGGAAAAGATTAAAATCCCCAAGTCCCAGGGTCCGGCCTTGACTTTGTAACTGGAGGAGCAAAACCAAGGCAGACAAAATCCCTGCTTCAGATTCCTCAATCCTGCTAATGTCAGCCCAATTTCATCCTGCCCCGGCACTACTGAGTGACACTGTGACAGTGTGTGTGTGTGTGTGTGTGTGTGTGTGTGTGTGTGTGTGTGTGTGCTCACACGCACGCGCTCCCATACATGCCACCTCCCAAGGACAGTGGGTTGGCTGAGCCATGGCTGGTGCTGAGATAATCTGAGTATACCAAATGCTTAGTACAATCCTGGGGCAAACACATCCCACATGAGTAGGTGAAAGTAATGTGACTTTCTCACAGGGCAAGCCTGAAGCTGCCCTAACTATGAAAAGCAAAAGGCAAATGATTGGCAGAGGAGGCAACCTTACTATTGTTTATAATAACATCCTTACCACCCGAAGTGATGCTGATGCGTCATGTACAGAAATTGAAAACTGTCCCTCTGACCAACTCGCCAAGTGCTGACACATGGACTAAGGACATGGTGTCCTCGACCCACACAGGCACCCACGAGAGGAGGGGCTGGTGATGGGCAGGCAGGGAAAGGAAGGCAGAGAGAAGGCCACGGAGGGAGATCATCCCCTCAGCCACACAGGAAGGTGGTTAAAAGCAGGGGAGAGCGGCAGCTCAAGTGAGACTCTCCAAGCAAGAGTCAGGGAGGGAGGGAGGGAGGGAGGGAGGGAGGGAGAAGGGAGGGAGGGAGAGTGCCTGCCACACATCTTTCTTTCTTTCTTTCTTTCTTTCTTTCTTTCTTTCTTTCTTTCTTTCTTCATACATAAAAGTAAGCCTCTCCAATCATGGGACCCCCAGCCCCCTCTCCCCACAGCCTGGCACTGACCTTCCCCACTCTGGAAAACTGTCCCCAGAAGCACAGAGTAGCTGAAGAGGTTGGGAGAGGCCCTAGCTGGCTTTAATCAAATGCGCTTCTCCAAAGAAATGATCGGCATAGCTTGAAGCAGAAGCAGATGATTTGAGGGAATGGTTCATGCAGATGGAATTGTCCATGGGGATCTGGACATACCATCAAGGGAGGGTCCTATGTATAGTGCCCCGGCCTCCAGAGCCCTCATCACCCCTTCAGACAGCTCTGTCTCCCATCCTTTACGGTCCCCACAGCCATCATCTCTTCCCTAGTACATTTCTACACACGATGCGTCAGACAGAGTTAAGTGTTGGGCTCCAGGGGCGAGAGCAATAGCACAGCAAGTAAGACATTTGCCTTGCATGTGGCCAACCCAGGTTCGATCCCCAGCATCCCATATGGTCCCCCAAGCCCATCAGGGGTGATCCCTGAGTGCAGAGTCAGGAGTAAACCCTGAGCACTGCTGGGAGTGGCCCAAA